ACTTTGGGTTCCTTCACTACATTCTGTAGTAATGTGGCTGGTTATAAATAAAGCCTGTTAGGACTTCTAATTCTCTCAGAATCGCCTCGCTGGATAAGTCCGGTGAGATGACACATCATTGTCTTACTCCTCAAAAGCGGTAAAAACAATGGATTCTCTCATTTAGTTACTCTTTAAACCTAATTATTCATCTTTTTTTTTTCTTTTTCTTTTTTGTCCATTTATTTACTCATAAATTTCATGTAGGAACTTGAATGTAAGTTTTGGCGGGAAGATATTGATCTGTCTGGTTCGTAACCTGAAACCGAATGTTAATTTCCTCGTCATTGCTTTACTGTGGCCCCTACTTTTCTCTATCCTTTCTTCCTCATTCACTTCATCCCCCAATCACTCTGTCGCTCTTGTCCTCTCGATCCTTATCCCCCTCACTATTTATCCCAACTATCTCTATCCTTCAGCCTCTCTTTCACTCCCTCATTTCTATCCTTATCCTTCCCCCTGTTTCTCCCTCCTTCTCTTTTCACACCTCCTCTCTCTCTATTTATCCCACCTTCTCTCTGTCTTTCTCTCTATCCTTCAGCCTATCTCTCACTCGCTCATCTCTCCCTTTATCCTTCCCTCTGTTTCTCCTTCCTGCTCTCCCTTACTCTCCATCTCTCCCTTACTCTCCCTCTCTCCTTTACTCTCTCTCTCTCTCTATTTGTACACATTTCTCAACATTTATTTGTGTCTTAATAGTAAGTCTGACAAAATACAACTGGTTCCTGCTATCGAATATAACCGTCAATCAGTTGTTAACTGAGGCAAGAAATGGCATGCAAATTTTAACCCCTCCTAAACGAAATTGGCTAAACGAAGCTACATTGGCTTTCCATCAGCATGACTGATGCAAACCTCCAAAGGGGCAACTCGCTACACCTTCTTAGTCTCACGTTTTCCAATAGAAATAGAGCGCTTACATTGAATCAATATGTTGGTCTGCTGCCAGGAACTTTGTTTCACTGTGTGGTGCCAGACAATATTTCCCGCCGGCATATCTGGCACATTTATAAAACTTCTATTCATATGTGCTTTGAATTCTGCTTCCATATCTAGTCTGATGCTCTGGAGATTCTCGACAAAATCCAAGGAAGAATCCGCAATGTTATTGGTCCTGACCTAGCACCTCAGCTTCACTTTCTTTCCTACCGGCATCATGAGGTGCCCGGGTATCTTTTCTATAAATATTTCAATGCCAATTGTTCTAACGAGCATTGCTCTTTGGTAAGTTGACCTCATGAATTTAAGCGTAGCACAAGATTGGTAACAAGACCTCATCATTTTACTGTTGAAATAGATGGATGGAACTGGAAGTCCTATTCTAGAAATAAAAGTATAAAACTTAATATTACTAGACATATTAAAAACAGGCGAAGCAACTGGTTTCGCTCCCGCTCTTCAGGCTTCAACGGGAGATTTAATTTAAATTAAAACACAGAAAATGTACAATAAAACTGATGGAGCATGTTGCTCAACTTTCTCGAGAGCCTGTACTTTATAATGCTCCATAAGTTTTCTATGAGGTTGAGATCTGGAGATTGGGGCACCCATGTCATAACACGCACCTGCTTCTCATCAAAGTATTCTTTCATCAATTTTAATCTGTGACAGGGAGCATTATCTTGCATAAAAAAGAGCTTGGTGGGGTCGATTTGCACCCTTTCAGCAGAAGGGAGCAGACAAGACTCTAAAATTCTCTTGTACTGCTCACTCCTGAGGGTCTTTTGAATAGGTTTTAAGAAACCAGTTCCATGAAAAGAAAAGCATCTCTAGAACATTATACTGAACGGATGCTTGACAGTACTTACTGCTAAATTCAAAGGGCTTTCAAAGCTTCTTCTTCGGATTTTAGATCGCTTATCCTTTGAATTTAGATCAACTTTCGTTTCATCGGAGAAGAGAACATTTAGTAAAAAAAATCAGGCGAGTCACTTTTATCGAACAGCACTATATATATATATATATATATATATATATATATATATATATATATATATATATATATGTGTGTATTTAAAGGCAATACTTCTTTCACGCTCATTTCATAAAATACAACAGACAAGTTCCTTTTATTTAGTTTTTTATAGAATTTCTCATGCGATCTAATAATTTTTTTTCTTTTCGGATGATAAATTATATAAAAAACTGTCCGAATGTTCTTTTTATCCGAGCGCTTTCGGCTATACATTTAGCCATTTTCAAGGATTAAATATTTTAACTGTTACATAAGAAATAGTTTGTTGTATGTATGTTTTATAAAATATTTTCATTTTTCAAAACACGATCACTATATACATAAAACAAACTAATTCGTCCGAGCACTAGATTGGCAGTTAGGTCTCACTTTTACCGTTGAGCTAGATAGATGTAACCGGAAGTTTTTCTTCTAATAGATTCTTCTTTCTCCATGTTTAATGGATGTCAGTTGCCGGTTATCTCCTGTTAAGGACACATGGCACAGTGGATAAAGGCATCGGTTAGATACAGTGACAGGAGCCAAGGAGTGTGAGTTCAATACCCGGTCAAGGCAGTGGAGAACTTTCAGAGGGGAATTAACAGGAGATAACTGATAACTGACATCCATTAAACATGGCACGTGGAACTAGAACAGTCTACCCCAGTGAGCGAAATGAAGGGTTCAGTTCGACATTCCAACCACGTGAAAAAGGCCGGAGCATACAACGGTCGAAACGTTGTAATAAATATGGCGACAAAGTAAATAATGTAAATAGTGTTTAATTTGACTACAGTAAATAGATATATAGTTTGCTCAACGGCGTAGTCTGGGCCAGCAGTATATATGCTAATTTTAAATCTCGTGTATGATGCGACCCTCTTAAAATTAGCTTCAAAATTAGGTCTTCAAAAGTCGCATGGCACGCGAGTATATACGGTATTTAAGAACTATACTAATTTTTTTTTAGAACTGATCCAAACATTGAGTTATTTCAAATAATTAGTATTACTAATTCCAGATCTTGTATGCCTCTACAAATCAATCAGTTCTAAAGTCCACTTACTGTTATATCTCTTTCGGGTATTGGAGTTTATTTCCTAGTTTTTGTTTAAGATAGTGTGGAACGTTAACATCTTGATCATATCATTATTTTCCATTCTAATTATTCGTAAAGAATGCACTGACTGGCTCAGCGATTGGTCAGTATCCCTCGTAGGTGTGGCATTCTGACAGTGTTGGATTGCCTTTGTCTGTTTTGAATAAATGACCAAAAACGACTCGATGTCGTCAGAAGGCCTCGGGAACTTTGGCGCTTTCCCCGCCCAAATTTCATAGACAGACCAAGGCCGCACGTGGCGTGAAACTACGCTAACGAGTGGGCATGAGTTCCAATGTAGTAACTCCTCCCGCTGCCTCATAGAATCGATGCTACCACGTCTACCCATCTCCTCTCATAAAATGGATAAGAAAACGAAACCGTTTTTCGTTAATACAGTCTACGAAGCGGTATTGGGGTTTGAAGGTCTGAAGACACTTTTATGTGCATGTCATGCTTGGCACCAAATCGTTCAGGTATTTCCAAACTCTCAGCTGTATGCAACGGATTACTCAGATCAATGGTTAAAATGGCTTCGATCAAATCAAGACTGGATCTTGGCAAAGAACATGCTTCTTCAAACCTTGTGGATTGGCGCTACAGAATCATAAATCACCTCACTTGAATTTTTTCAGCAATAACAACAACTAAAACGGTTGTCACATATAAATCGAGAAGGAAATTAGTATTGCATTATTTACATTATTCTAACTGTCTTCATTGCCATACCTACAACGTTTCGCCCGTTGTACGCTCCGGCCTTCTTCAGTTGATTGGAATTCCTAACCGAACCCTGTATTTCGTCCACCGGGGTAGATTCTTCTAGGTCCCATGCCATGCCTCTTCTGGATGTCTCAGTTATTTCCCTTTAACTCAATTCTCCTAGTTTTTTGGTTCAGCACTTGCTGTAGCCTGGTATTGAACTTACGACTCTTTGAGTCTAGTCACTGGATCTAACTAACGCCTTTATCCACTGGGCCATGTGTCCTTGAAAACACATGACAATGAATATGGCAATCAAGATGAGGATAAAAGTCCGAATAATATAAATAATGCAATTCGTATGTTAGGAAGTAAGAAGGAAACATTGATAATTGAAAGAGCGATAAAAGCTACTGGATTTGAGAAATCAAGTTTGCTATAAAAAAATTGTTTAATGGGATATATTTAATGGGATGTGTGTGTGTGTGTGTGTGTGTGTGTGTGTGTGTGTGTGTGTGTGTGTGTGTGTGTGTGTGTGTGTGTGTGCTGATGTGCGGATAGATAGATAGATAGATAGATAGATAGATAGATAGAAAAGGTTACTGGATAAGGAATAACAAAAACGGAGGTTGGAAATGAAAATAAAATACTCGCCAGCGGCGTGCAGTAGGTAAACCACTGCTAGTGGTGGACTACTTAGACAGCATATTACCCCTACTTACAATAGTGTCAAAACGTATTTATGAGGATTGGGACATACCCATTAGTGTTCATAAGTACAGTATATAACAGACAGATAGATAGATAGATAGATAGATAGATAGATAGATAGATAGATAGATAGATAGATAATGAACAGACTGAGAGAGATAGAATATTGAACAGAATGAAAAGATAGAAAGATATAAATATGTTCAGATATATAGGTAGATGGAATAAACTGACAGGTCAGAAAAAAACAGTGTAAAATAGACAGTAAGTTTGAGGACATCTAAATCTAAACATCCGGGCAGACCCATCTATTCTTAACGCGAGAGTAATCGTGTGTATGATTTTATTCGATGATTTCGAGACGATCTTGTAACGATTATAGACTGATGATCGAAATTCTTTTGACTCATTTGAACGAATTTCTTTTAGCCTTTTTGAACGATTCTGTCGCGCTTAAAGATATTCTCTCTTCGACTCTCGTTTTAGGCGATTGGTATGGGACCTTGTCAGAACCAGCCATGTGGTATATGTGAAGCCTGTTATCCGACGGAGTTCAAATACACCTGTGTCAAAGAAGGTATGCCTATTGATATCTTTGAAGAACTTGGGATTAGACCACGGGACAGTATCTCACTATTAGATCATAAATTTAGAGCATGGATTTCATTGACGTTTTTATTCCACTGACAGAATGAGCTGGGTAATTCTAGTCTTTATACACACGTAGTTCAAACTTTTGTTGCATTTGCGCTCTTGGAATTTCGGTTGGGGTCAGTCGTGTTTACTATTCAGTCAAGATACGGCATAAGTGAAGCGATCCTGTTTCTTTGAGATTTCAATTACAAGGGTGAATTTAATGGAATAGTGTTAGTAATGGACAGGCTGATGGGTGTATTAAAAACCAGTGTGACTGAGCTACAATTACCACTATGAACAAACATGCATAATTGAACCTGTACACAGTAAATCGACTTTGTGTCATGCTTGCTGAAATCTATAATTACCGTACATTGTCTACAAGTACTGCATAACCGGAGTGTGTCTGATCCCTCAAGATGAAACGTTAATGATTGTAAAGACTGACAAGAAGACGGTATCTGAAATGTCAGTGGTTATTATGAATTACAACTGAAGCCAAAGCAACGTGTATATTATATCCAATTTGAAACAATTGTCGATCTTGGACAAGGTGAGACAAAACAAAGAAGCATTTGTAATAGAGATAGAAGAATTTAATATAACCATTTTCGTAGTTCTGCCTCATAAACCAGGTGCCAATGAATACCAACTCCATCGGATAATCAGCTTAAGAAGCCACATAACACTACTGATAAACAGAACGCGAATTGCAATTACACCGGAAACAGGACCAGAGCAATCATTAATAAGAACACTAACAAGAAAATTGCTATCAATCGCCATCTTTGGTTTTCCTCAGTGTTGTTCTTGTATGTGTGACTGGGTGATATTTATTACTATCCCTAAACATGTTTAGTTGAACATGTATATAGTATATCGACATTGTGCTATACAATGATGAAGTTGATAATTACCGTAGTTCGTCTTCAAGTGAAATATTACCTAAAGGGAGGCATGCCTGATCCCCGAAGATGAGATGTCAATGTTTGAATAGAGCGAGCGTTAAACAGAATTTCAACTAAAGGCAAACAACGTTTATATATTATCTAATTTGAAATAGATGTCAATTTTTGAACAAAGAATTATTTAAGATTGCATTAGAGATACTCTCGTTGTTAGACAATTTCCAGATCGTCAAGATCACAAAGCAGTAAATGAATTAGTGATATACGTAAAGAATTTAATACATTCGTCGTGTCATGTTTGCTGAAATCAGGCATTGCATACAGCGAGCGTGTCTGATTTCCCAAGATTAAACATTAATGTTTGAATTGAATAACAAGTTAGTATCAGGAAATACAAGCGTTTATTATGAATTACAACTGAAGTCAATTTGAAACTAATGTCGATTTTGGACAAGATGAAACAGGAAAAAGAATCATTTGAGATTGTAATAGAGATGGTCTTAGCCTGAGACGTTTTCAGTAGAAACAAGATCACAGAAGCAATAACGGAATTGGTGATATACCTGAAGAACTTCATCGTGTCATTTTCATAAAAGGAGCGTGTCTGATCACCGTAAGATGAAATATTAATGTTTAAATTCATTGACTGGAAGATAGTATCAGTGAGCGTTTATTATGAATTACAACTGAAGACAAAACAACGTTTATATATAATGCAATTTGAAACGAATGGTGAAATCAAACGGAAGAAAAGAAGTCTTTTAGATTGTAGCAGGGATGCTCTCAGTCTGAGTCGATTTCAAGATCGACATGACCAAAGAAGCAATAAATACAATTGGTGATATAGATGAAGAACCTCATCATGTCATATTTGCTGAAGTTGGGTTTTGCATAAGCGGATAGTATCTGATCACCGCAAGATGAAACATTAAAGTTTGAATTGATGGATTAGAAGATAGTGTGAGCGTTTAATGTGAATTTCAACTGAATGCAAAACAACGTTATATATTTTAGTAGTTATAACTCTGAGTAAATAATTATAAACCCCATAACATATATATATATATATATGTGTGTGTGTGTGTGTGTGTGTGTGTGTGTGTGTTTGTATATATATATATATATATATATATATATATATATATATATATATATATATATTATATTTGGGAATATAATTATATATATATATATATATATATATATATATATATATATATATAATATAAAATTAAACACTAATATTCCATGGTCATAATTTATTCCATTGGAATCGCAAATACGATCCAACTCATCAGACCTACAGATTCAGAATTGGATCGTATTTGCGATTCCAATGGAATAAATTATGACCATGGAATATTAGTGTTTTAAACTTCTATTATATCCTTACTCTGTCCTGGAGATTGAGTTCTACCTGGATTCTATCCTCTTGAATTATTTTTTATACATATATATATATGTATGTGTATGTATGTATGTATATATATTTTATAAAGTTTAGATATATGATTGCATATGTATGTGTATATTAACCACTAATATTATCAATATATATATATATATATATATATATATATATATATATATATATATATATATATACAAAATTATTCGTAGATAATTAGAAACATCAAGACGAGTGGGAACAATAAAACTAGTATTATTTGTTATCTGGTTGTTATGTGGTGTTGGAAACATGAGAGAAATTAATACTAATTAAATTGTGACTTGGGATCAAATATGGATCGGAATCCGACAGACCGAGAATGAGTTAATTTGTATACAGTTTTCAATTGAAGTATTGCATAAAGGGAGTGTGTCCAATCCCCCAACACGAGAATTGATTAACTAGAAGACCGTATCAGGACATCTAAGCGTTTAAATTGAATTTCAACTGACGGCCAAACGTGTTATATAGTATCCAATTGGAAACGAATGTCGATCTTTGAAGAAATAAGCATTTGAGATTATAGTCGAGATGGTTCAAGCCTTCGCCGAATTCAATAACCAGAAGGTCACTGAAGCAACATATGAATCAGTGATATACATGGCGTTTCAATTGATTAATTAGAAGACCTTATCAGGACATCTCAGCGTTTAAATTGAATTTCAACTGACGGACAAACAATGTTATATATTATCCAATTTGAAACGTGTGTCGATCTTTAAAATATGAAAGCATTTATTAAAATTAAAACATTTAAAAATATTCATGGTGATACGGAAAAAAGAAGAATTTCAGACTGTTATAGAGATGCTCTCAGTATAAGACGATTTCAACATCGACAAGATCACAGAAGCAATAAATGAATTTGTGACATACCGGAAGTACTTAGTGGATCCATCTTCATAGTTCTGCCTGGGAAATCAGGTGCAAATAAAGGGTGTGTAATTACTAACGGCTCGGATAGAGAAACCAGAGAGCCGAGTTCGAATTTCAGTCGAATTCAATACAGTAGCCCTCGATTGGTAATCCATCCCTTCTCCCTGTAACTATGGGTCGAATAGCCGGGCAGGCTTGGCTATATAGAAAGAAAGAAACGGCAACATAGTGCGGAGAAATAATCTGATGTGTCTGTTATTCTTCGAAAGCGATATGATCGCTCAAGTGTGTATTTATTATTCTGATAAATATATCTGTATATCTTTCCTAGATCGAAACAAAATGGTGCCTTACATGTATTTTAGCGTACTAATAGATTTGTAACTAGATGTTGTGACCAAGTAAATGGTTAAAGAAATAACAAAACAAGTGTTGCAGATATATATATATATTAAACAGTAAGTACAACAGAAGAGTATTACACGACTAGTGAGGGTGTGTCGGTTGAGACAGCGCTCAATCTATTCGACTGTTATATTTACCAGGCTCCTCACGAGGTACGAATTGGCATAAGGCCGAGTTTAATGTGGGGCAATCTGAGCCCATAGGCTCGGCGAAAAATATTCCCTTAGAATCCGTATAAACAGGTTCAGGGTCTGTCTACTTCCCCGGACGAAACTTTGCAAAGCCTCGTCCGGGTTCCTCTCTGCTCAAGGCAGAGAGTTCGACAGGTGAACAATCTGGTCGACTGTTCATATTTAACAAGGCCGAGTTTAACGTCGGTTCTCCGAGCCCGTAGGCTCGGACAAAAAATATTCCCTTAGAACTCGCATAAACAGGTTCAGGGTCTGTCTACCTCCCCAGACGAAACTTTGCTCTTCAGCAAAGCCTCGTCCGGGTTCCTCTCTGCTCAAGGCAGAGAGTTCGACAGGTGAGCAGTTTGGAGCACTGTTCCCCCAAGGCCTTCTCTTCTACTAATCTTATAGTAGGCGGAAGAGTCCACCATAGACTCTTTAGAGGGAGAACACCACAACACCCCCCTTTTCAGCCTGACTCCGTATAGAGTCTTTGTTTTAATAATTACCACACAATGCTTTTTATTTAACCAAATAAACCCTTTTGCTTACGGTCAATTCACGCTGAAACACCGGTTCTCGTTCGATCACCGAAGTTAAGCATCGTAGAGCCAGGTCAGTACTTAGATGGGGGACCGCTTGGGAACACCTGGTACTGTAAGACCCCAAAGTCCAACCCTTACCTCACAGTCGGTGTGGGGGGGGTGTAAACGGTAGTGTCAGAGCTATGCCGCCCGGAACTTCGTTCCTGGTAGGGCCACCCAAGGCGGACAGGTCTGAGACACACGCCGGCTAACAAGGGCTCTGGTGAAAATCCAAGGAGCGTCTGCATCGGTAACCGGCGGCTTCTGGTCGTTCCTGTCTCTGCGTCTGTGGGAACCCCGCGGCAAGCAAGAACGTTATCCGAGTAGGCCTGGGTACCCTACTTCTGTAAATTATCCCAAGAATCTTCTTCTCATAACAGGAAGAAGCCGGCTCAATCCGCCCAGGGTGAATGCCGCATCAGTACAGTACAGTAGTAGTAAATAAACCCTTTAAAAAAAAAACAGAAACAACCACATTGAAAAGACCATATACAGGAATTACGTTCACATTTTTTTGGTTTTACGACAAACATTTTACGTGTTAACAA